AAATATATATAGCTAAAAGCTCTACTGGTTTTCTACCCGGAAGTCTTTGTAAACAACAGGGCAATTCCCTCTATAGTCCAGCCGGACGGATGAGTCATGGCCTTGTAAAAGATTGTTTGTTTCTTTTAGTTGGCAAGAATGTGTCGCCGCAAACGCGACAAACATCCACTAACTTTGACGGTGTTTTCTGCGAGCACGGCTGAGCCATTTTGTACCGCTACATGTTTGTAGTGGGACTATGTTTACAAGCACAAGAGTTCAGCGAGCCACCAAAGCACCGTCCTGCAGATTTACTATTGGTTCTGCAACGTAGGGAATTTTTTTAAACTCTGAAATTGTACATCTGAAATTGTACATCTGAATTGTACTAACCCTAACCCCTAATAGTACACCTTCTCTCCCTCTCTCTCTCTCTGTCTCTCTCTCTCTCTCTCTCTCTCTCTCTCTCTCTGTCTCTCTCGTATTCTATTACTGCATCTTGCTAACTCGGCCATTCTGGATGTCACTAACTCGGCTTCTTGTCCGGAGCCTTTGTGCTCCACTGTCTCTCAGATTAACTCATACCACAGCGGTGCCTGGACAGTGTGACGTGTGTGGTCGTGCTGCTGCCGTGGTCCTGCCAGATGCCTCCTGCTGCTGCTGTTATCATTAGTCATACTTCTACTGTTATTATACACATATGATTATTGTCACACATGTATACTATCAGATATTAATATATTATTGTTAATCATAATATTATTACTTTAATTAATGTTGTTGTAAGCTACTGTCATTACCGTCTGTCTCTGTGTCTCTCTCTCTGTCTCATTGTGTCTAACGGATTACTGTTAATTTATTATGCTGATCTGTTCTGTACGACATCTATTGCACGTCTGTCCGTCCTGGAAGAGGGATCCCTCCTCAGTTGCTCTTCCTGAGGTTTCTACCGTTTTTTTTTCCCCGTTAAAGGTTTTTTGGGGAGTTTTTCCTTATCCGCTATGGGGGTCCTGAGGACAGAGGGATGTCGTATGCTGTAAAGCCCTGTGAGGCAAATTGTGATTTGTGATATTGGGCTTTATAAATAAAATTGATTGATTGATTGATTGACTTTATCTACATAAGATCAAATATTTTGGTATGAAAAGCTGCATTTTTCATTTAACCAAATATCCTGTATCATAACTACATGTCTGACGATTATAACAAACTAAACTGCATGAAAATCGGTTGAGAATTCAGCGAGTAATGATGATTTTAATCATAAATAGTCTCCTGCCTCAATAGACATACATGCATTAGGCAGCACGGCTCTACCTGGGCAAGATGGTGGCCGCTTTGACGTATCGCTCCAATGAGGAGCACCGTTGAATGCGGCATCTACGTATATATATCTATGGGTCAGAGGCCACAGACAGAGGTCAGAGGTTACAGTCAGAGGTCATGTCTCAGGTCAGAGGTCACAGTCAGAGGTCATGGCTGTTAAAATGAATTATAAAATGTTCTAAAGGAGTCGTGTCTCTGTTTCAGGTCTGAAGTTTGACTCGCGGTTCATTGTTGTTCGAGTTCGAGCGAGAAACAAAGCAGCTGCTGGCGAGTTTTCTGAGCCGGTTGCCATGGAAACCAGAGGTGATAACATGACTGAATAAGTGATGAGTTGCAAGTCTGTATGTCAACATGAAGAACTACCGGTCATATCAAACATGTACAGAAGTGTTTCTAATAAACTGGACACAAAGTCTGTTTCCATGGTAACGATATAGACAGAAATCATGTCATCCGTGTGTCTCCAAAAATTATCAACTTTTCTCATGATTTGATTTTTATTATAACTTCTCCTTGTTTTCCTTCTTCTCCTTCTCGTTCTCCTACTCTGTTGTCCCCTTCTTCTTCTCCTTCCTCTCCTTGTCCTGCTCCTCCTTCTCCTTCTTCTCCTTCTTCTCCTCCTTCTCCTTCTTCTCCTCCTTTTTCTCCTTCTCCTTCTCTTCCCCTCCTCCTCCTCCTTCTTGTCTCTGTCTTCTTTTCCTCCTTCTTCTCCTTTGTCTCTGTCTTTTTCTTCTCCTTCTCTTCCTTCTTTCCCTCCTCCTTCTTCTTGTCTCTGTCTTCTTCTTCTCCTTCTTCTCCTTGTCCTGCTTCTTCTTCTCCTTCTTCTTCTTCTTCCTCCTCCTCTTGTTCTTCCTCTCCTTCTCCTCCTTCTTCTTCGTGTTTGTCTTCTTCTTCTTCTCCTTGTCCTGATTCTTTTTCTTCTTCCACTTCTCCTCCTTCTTCTTCTTCTTCTTCTTCT